AAGGGACCTACTCACAGCCATCAACTAAGTAATAGGACGGTAGAGAGCAAATGAAGAMTTCTTCTTGATCTTTTTCTTGAAGGTGCATAGCGAAAGGAAGGAAAACATTTGGTCAGATTGAAGCAGGTGAAAATGCAAATTACTGAAAACAAGAAAACTTCCACAGAGAGGATGGTCAAACATTGAAACACATGCTCAGATTGACTACGGATTCTTTATCCTTGGAAATATTCCAAATTTGCTGGTCAAGACTCTGAACAATCCAAGGTAACATTAAAACTAGCCCTGCTTTGAGCAGAAGGCTGAATCAGATGACTTCCAGAGATCTTCCCCAACCTAATTCTGTTGTTCTKTGATGTTGGAAAGTATTCTGATTACCTTTAAAAGCTTTAGGTCAGAAGCTTTTCAGAAGGCAAGCTGCTACTGGTAGATGTAGTTGCTACTTTGAAGCATTGCTAGGGTACATATGCATTTCCTGGTCAAGGTTCATCCATTTACAAATAAAAACTATGATAAACTTCGGAGACTGTCACTAAATAGTTTGGAGAATGTTAGAAGAGCATGTTAACGGCTTTTTGACTTTCACCATTGGTCTGTTCCTGACAGGCAAATGAAAGCATCTTCCAAGATGTCCTAATTTCTGTGTAGCAGTCCTGCTCCCACTGCAAATATAATTCCTGTTTCCTTCTCCTTTTATTTCACTGGATTTCCCCACAACCTCATGGTTTTACTCACTGCCATTTGTCTGTTACAGTGTACCCAAAAGACCGCCTGTTCCTTCTCCCTGCCTGGAAAAGCCAGCTACTTCTCTATTCTATGTTGCCTTAACCTGTTTCTCAATAATCGTCTCTGAGTTACCTTACTTTAATAGGTAATGGCATCTTACTGCAGAGAAATGTTATGGATTACCTTTTCAGAGTCAATTCTCTTCTTGTCACCAGAGATGTAYGACAGGTCACCAAGACATTTACTGGAGCTCCTGAGATTGTTGAACTTCATAGTTAACATCAGGAATCCCTTAAATTGTTTTATATCCCCTCATTTCTGGCAAGCCTATTGCCAAGAAAGCTAATCCWGTTAAGATTGAAGGATAGATGGTTCCAAGTTAAAGAAATTATATCCTTCAGTCAAACCTCCTCCTTTCTCTAAAGTATTATGTATTATGGATCCAGCCTTTATACTTCAGTTTGTCTCTGAGGTATAGTTTAATGCTAAGCAGGAAAGAAACTGCTAAAACATATTGGAGCAAGTTGAAAAAGAGTCAGTTAAATGCAAACAAACATCCAGCATTGCAGTATCACCATCAGGGAATGGCAGCACTAACAGCTTCATAGCCAGTAACTCGTCATCACCCGGGGSTGATCATTTTAATCGGTAATTGCTGGTCAACCTCAATTGCCAGGAGGGGAGGGAGGCTGAGCAGCAGCCRTTGGCCTTGACTGATATCTGGCACAGAGAGAGAGCTACTGCAAACTGAAACAGCTACAGGGGCTTGTAGGGCTGCTTCACCTTGGGGCTGCCAGTGATGTCCTGCACTGCTCGGATCACTGCGAGGCCTCTGCCTTGTGTAGCAGAGGTCAATGCCTGCGGTGATATGAGCTAAAAGGAATGTTCCTTTCCATTCCAGAGGAAAGCAAACTCTCACAAGTTATTTCAATCTGAAAATGAAACTTTTCCAGCCTCCTACATTTTTTTTTAACAAAGGATTCTTATACCTCTGCGCCACTCGGGGAAGATGTTACATGCAGTTTAGTGGCCTTTCTTTTGCCAGAGAAAGCTAGGAGYCAAAGTGTAAATAAGAACTGATCCCCTGGGGTCTGAACAGTTTTCTCCTGGAAGCTTCATCACTCTAGTTATCATGGTAAGGAAGATTCATGACTTTAGGCAGGTTTCTGTCCTGCAGTCCAGAAAGAGTACTTGACCGATGTGCACACCACTAGCAATCTGTTTTAGATCTCTAGTGYACTTTTATTTTTATTTATCCATATCTTCTCCTTGCCCATTACATGTTTGAAGCTTGACAGACTCCCTTATATTCYTTCTGTGACCAAATCCATTCTTGTAACCTGTATTTAGCAGTGATTTATAGTCAGGAGTCATGAGTGATGGTATAGGAACTGGAAGACAGATCTAGTGAAAATGAAAAGCATAATGTAGTCCTGCCATTGGTCCTAGTCCTGCCAGACTACTGAGTACTGAGGATCCCAGTATATTAGATGCTAGTGAGATTTACTGAGCTAATATTTTAGTCAATGGCATTTCAAATGTAGGACTTCTCTATAACCTGATAACCTACGATTTCAGCTTTCTGTCATGTGAGACTATTGGGTTGCATAGAACTAGTGAAGAAAWTAGTTTAACTAATAGCTGTACAAATTCAAAGTTGTTAGAATAAAATACATTCTGAAAATGAGCAATAGCCTGTGAAAGTAATCTTCTACCAAAACAGTAAGAAACTTCTTTGGTGAAGTGATCAAGCTCTTTTTCTCCCTAGTTCACTAGTAATCCCAGTCATCCAGGGTTCATGTTGCCATTTCCACTGTGATTATTTCTTTTCCTTTTAATGTCTAACTTTCTAACCTCTTAATGCTGCATTTTGCCCCTGGTCTCTGTTTCTCCTTTGCAGACGTCTCCCAGACTCCATGGCTCTCTAGCTGATGTTTATTCTCAGCCAGTTCCAGGCCTTGCGCTCCTCTGCTTTTTCCTCAGTATCCATGGGAACATGGTCATTGTCACACAGTTTAAAAGGGACATTCAGTGTCCACCTTCACCTAAAAGAGATTTGCTTCTCATCTGCTGCATGAGAGAGTGCCCTGCCTTCCTACATGATACAGGGTTTGGGAATAGGCTTTTCTACATTTATTCTGCATTCTTGTGTCTGTCTTGTAAGTTGAAAAAACTCTTCCTTTGCCAGGATCTAAAAAGACAAGAGCTTTTTCTAAGCTTTTGGCTCACAGAAATAAAGCCATTGAAGGCAGTTTCCCAGCCACCACGGGTCCTGCCCCTGGCTGGCCACACTCCTTAACATGATTTCTACCACTCCGCACCTTATGCCCAGCGTTGGAGACAATGTCCGTACATAAACACAGTAGCTTCTTCAGGGGAGACCAGAGCAATGGTCTAGACCATTACATATAAGGTTTAAGTACTTACATATATGTAAGTGCTCTTCCCTAAGTCAAGCCRCAGAAAAGTCTTGAGCCATAATAGGGACCAGCTTCTTCTTTGCATGAATGAAGGGGGTTCATTCTTGAAGCTCCTGCCCCTGTGAGCATCAGTGTTTAGTAACTCAGCACACACACCAAGGCCTGATCCTAGGAAGGTGAATAGCCCTGCCTGAGTATCCGYGTCGCCTCTGCCGTGCCTTCTTCATGGAAAGTCCAGCCAAAATGGAGCAGATAAAGTTTTCCAAGAGCAGTATTTGCTTGCTGTTCCTCAGCATGGGGTCCCCACTTGCCCCACTCCCATTGACATCAGGGAGGCCCATAAATCAGCTACACATTGATGGTGCAGCCCTTCTGATGCTCATTAAGCATCTCGCTGCTGGAGGAAAACACCACCATTGGTGCCAAGTACATTAAGGAACCCGTCTGGGTTTAAAACTGCGCCATGGGAGGGAATCACAACATTTCCAAACCTTAGCCTCTTGCATCACAAAAGCAAAGCCTGCTCCTTGCCATGTCTAGAGCCATAACAAAAGCCCAAGGCCAACAAACAAAATGAACAGCTTTGAAACAACCAAGCTGTTCTGGATTTTGTGTACAGTGTTTGTTGCCACATTCTGACCCAGAGTTACCATCTCATATTTCCCTGCCAGAATGATGGAAACATAAATAGGAGCTATAAACCCAAGTATTTCCAGCTTATACATCCAAAGRATAGAAATTATAGTCTCTTAGCAAGGAAAATGTTCGAGGGCAGTGAGGTAATGGGACCTGGTTACAGAGCTCATTTCTCTGAAAAAAAAACTTTAATACAGCATGGATTTTTTTTCCAATGTCCTTGATGCAACCTTTGCTAAAGTATAAAATAATCCCCTGCTTCACTGGAAAAGCCTCTTCCATGACTTAAAGAATGAACTGCTGAGCTCCATTTCGGAAATATTTTTTTTCCAGTTGCTATTTCTAAAGACATCTGAATTTCTCCAAAGACACAATATCACCAAGAAATGAGCTCCGGCAGACTGAATTGCCAACTCATTGCCTATTGGCTTACCTAGCAAGTGCCTCACGTTTCTGTCCATGGGATTATTGCTGCTGTCTTTGAACCATAGGAATCCCAGGTCCAGCCTTGCTACATAATGCTCTACAAGTCCATACCATGAGTCACATCACTGGACTGGGAGCTCTGCTCATTTGATTAATTGCCTTATCATTTGATTAATTGCCCTTTACTTGTTGACATGTAGCATAAGAGCCCAGGATGTGCTGCGTACGTAGTAAGCTGATTAAAGGAGGAATGTGTGTTAATGCATAGATGTGTACAATAGCTTTATGAAATCCCTCATGATCTTCCCACCCACTGGGCATTGCTTCAATATTCAGCTCAATCATCAGGAAACAAACTCGTGCTCCCTCATCTGCATAGCACATTGCAGCAAGTGTTGCCAAATATGGCCAAGCTTTTCAAAAGAAAAGAAAATATCCCCTCCACCTCTCCTCCCCTCCCCCACAGTAAATTTATGACCCTTGGCTCTACTTGTGACTTGTTCCTATGCATGCCTGAGTGACATGGAAATTGCAACAAATCTGTTTGGCATGTTTCTACACTCTAACACTTGCAGCTATGTTGGATTTTTCCTTTTTTTTTTTTTTTTTTTTTAATGGTTTAATGGCTAAGATTTCTTGTTTGCTTTGTTACCTTCTAACACAAGCGATATATGCTCAGGGGCCCCAGGAAGAGCAAAATGTTAATGAAAGGGCAAGGAGAAGGATGGAGAAATAGGGAAAAGCATTGCTGATTGTGGAGTGTAAAACATCCCTCCCATTGTGTTTTTCCAGGTCCTTCAAGCCTGACTTTGCTCTGATCCGGCAGCACCCCTACAGCATGGCGCTAGGGGAGGACTTCCGCAGCCTCATCATTGGCCTCCAGTACGGTGGCATCCACACGGTCAACTCCCTCTACTCCATCTACAACTTCTGCAGCAAGCCCTGGGTGGTAAGTGGCTCTCCAGTCCTACTTCATGTCAATGCTGCAAAGTGAAAATCTAACATCAACCAAGTACCACATTCACTTTCCTTTTTTTTTATTTTTTATTTTTTTAAGAATTGCACCTCTTTAGGCTAAAGCCATTCTTCAACAACTTATCCAGCTGGGAATTCTTAAAAAAAAAACTAAACAAAACAGAAAAGCTATCCATATTACTCCTCTAGTATTAGCCCAGTGTTATTTCCTCATCTTGAGTAGAAAGCTTTGTTCTGTCCCAGATTCTAACATGTGGCAGAGAGTCAGTAATATTTAGATTTGTTGCATGGTAGAGTAGGTTGTTTGACAGAATATGGATGGTATGGCAAAATAGTTGAGTCAGCTTTTGGTGACAGGCTTTTGAGACAGCCTCCTGCACCTGTTCTGTAAATTTTGTCAAATTAATTTGGAAGTCTCAAGAGATCTTGAAAACTGGTGGCACTCAGCCCTAAAAAAAAAAAAAATAAAATAAAATAAAATAAAATAAAATAAAAAAATAAAATTTGTAATAATTCCCTGGACTTGTTTTATGATGAGTTTTAAGTTAGCAGGAACTGAAGGATCAGGAGAGCCAGAGGATAAGGCTGGCCATCATAGGACCTGCAGGAAGAAATCAGATGTCAGAATCATTTTAGAGTCCATACCTGGGTCTCCTAAGCAGTTTCATCCCAGAGTGCCCTCCCTGGTCACTGGTCCTTCCAGAATAGAAATTTCCCCTGCACTGTTCTGGGAATGAAKCAGAGAACTACAAGCTATACAGAAGTGATAAGGACACGGGACTTTCCAATATCTCCCCCACTGGCAAATTTTAAGATACTCTTTTAGGAATTTTCCTTTCTTATTTCACAAATATAGCCTTGGTTGAGAAGTGCATTTCTAATAAGAGGTAACCATTTTCCTTGTTACTCTACCAAGAGTTTTCTTGATTTCTTGGAATAAACATCCACAGTCTTCACAGTGTTCATTGGTAGTTCAATATAGCTSAGGTCTGTAGTGATTCAGTCCTTTTTTTCTTTCCCATGAATATCCAGTGCTGAATTGGATATTTCCAATTCCTACTGAAAAGCTACCAGCATTATAGACATTGTTGTTTCAGTTTTCAGCCATTTCATGACATCTGGAGTTTTCACTAAGACCAAAGATACAGCATTGTAAAAGGTCAAGATTCAGACAGAGATTTGAGGTGCTAAGTCCTGGCTATGCAGTCTGGCTTTCCAAAGTGTTGTGTGRTCTCCAGGTCACTGAGCTGAGTCTAGTAGTCTCCATTTTGTGGAATGAACCTGTGGATCTGCCTGCAAGTAAAATTGAAGTCCAAACAGTTTCCATTCTCTCAGAATTTCTGCAATGCCAATCACTTCTCGAATCCCAGGGGCTCTTCAAAACCAGGACTATTTTCCCCTCCATTTGGTTCAGCAATTACAAGCACTTCTTATTGTTATTGCTATTAATTTGAAATCCCAACTAGACAGTTTTAAAGCTCTCATCACTACTCAGAAACCAGAGATGGTGCCATCATGGTGCCCTTTTGTGCTTGTATCTGCATGGCAAGCCCTGGAGAAAGCATACAGGTGATCAGAATGCAAGACTGCATCCTGTCCTTTCCAAAAGTGTTGCAGAGCACTAATACACTGGGCAATGCCCGTCCTCTCCTCCAGGAAAAATCTCTTTCCCTTCTCTGTATGGGTAGCAAGTTTGCCCTCAGTCCACGTTTGAATGACTAGGGAATGGAAAGGGGAGGAAGAAGGGAGTCAGCAAAAGGTTTGCTGCTAGATTTTGTCTTTGTTTTCTGCAGAGAGTTGACCTCAGTGACCAGACAAAAAGTCTCTGCCTTTACACTGACTTTTACTGAGGGAAACTGTCATGTGGTATCTTCCATCTGATTTGGGGATGGAGTCTGTCACTGTTGACTTTTCAAATCATTCCTTGCAATTATGGTCGTGTTGGTGTGCAGTGGCCTCCATAAAATGTGACAGGCTTATTTTTAAGAATCTAAAATAAAAGAAAACAAACAAACTCAGCACATTGCAGAAAAAAAAAAAAAGACCAGGGCTGGCAAGGTAGTGTGGGAGAACTTGGCTCTGCCAGGAACTCATCTTTAGCTATTCTAGGTCTGGTTCTGCCATGTTTTACTCACGGGGAATATGGTTGGCTCAGACAGCCTTCCCAGAAAAGTCAAAGAAATGACTTGTAAACATTTAAAACAGGTTTACAGAGTGCATCTTCTCCCTTTTGCCCACCCCCTCCACACATACACATTGCTCTCCACCCCCAAATACAATGATTGTAACTAATTACACAACTTAAGACCTCAAATGGGATCTGAGCTGGTATTTGGCACTATAGAAGTTTTATCAGGTTGAAGTGAACTCAGGCAGAGATTGCAGTGAGATCTCTGAGGAAGGCAGAAAGCTCCCCTGGCAGCAGAGCCAGAAGATTTTGTGATAGCTGGAATATGAGAGATAGAGACAGACCATTTTACTTTAGTGCATATTCCACTTTGATTGCAAAACAGRCGTCTTAAAATGAAGGATATGTTTAACAAAGATTACTGGAAACTTTTTGGTCCTATGAAATTGCAGAGATACACTAAGAAATGAAATTAGATCCCCTTGGGAAATGCACTTTTCACTTTTCMTTTTTTTTCTTTTTCCCAAAGATGGCTCCATTTCATTGAAATGTTTATGATTTGGTGGAGGAAGATGGGATGGAGACTGTTTTTCCTTGGCAATTTGCAGTGATGTTTTCTCAGCAACTGTAATTACAATCAGCTGAGTTTGGGCTTGAGTTTACTCAAATACGCAGACTCATTTTTAATGATATTTTCCAGGTTTCCAGTGCAGCAATACACATATCTTCAAATATTCAAATCTGCATTAAAGCAACAGGCACAATTTTAAATATATATTTCTGGGAAAAAAAAAAAAAAGGCATATTCAGGGGGATCTTGCACACAAAGAAGTGGAATCTAAGATGAAGAATCTTACATCTGTAAGACTGTAGTAAATATGAAGCCTTGAAAATCAGACATCTTTGGAGCCCAGGAGAATCCCAGCCAAAGGACCATTGACTGTAAAGTAGTATCTTCTCCCTGGTAGCCTAGATGCTTTAGAAATATGCACCACAGGCTTTGAGATCCATTCAGTAAACCTCTTTTTTTTTCTCTGTAAAGTCTCCCTAACAGAATAAATCTGATGTAGAAGAGGTCAAACCAACTTAAATAAGACAGTGCCCTTGCATACCTGCTCCAGGTGCATCAAACCCAGACTGTGCCATGTGTTCTTACCCAGAGCAGCTCTGTAGTTTGCATTCAGTCTCACTTAACATCAGTTTGGCCACTGAAAATAAGTATTCATAGCAAAGTATAGAAGAAAGGGAGGTACATCTAGCTGAGCTGCTGACAGTGACATTCCTACCCATGTTAAATACACCAGGATGGCTACTTGAGCTCTTTTATTAGGTGTCTAAAAGGTTGTTGTAACATATGATGTGGGTGTCTCTTGGGCAATATCRTGCGCTGACCAATCGTATCTGCCTCTGCAAAAAAAGCAGGGAGCTGACCCATGAGGGTGAATACCAGAGTCAGAACTTTTTGCAGGCCTGACCCACTGAGGAGACCCTCAGCTGGTTCAGTCCCTCACCTGTTCATCTGAAATGCTTGTTATTTCACACACAGCCAGGAGCTGCATGCTTCAAAAGAAAGTCCAAGGAACCAGTCAAGATGCCATTTGTCAACTGCACAGTTGTTCCAGTTATTTTATTTTCGCTGCTTCCCTGGGATTGCATGGATGTCACCTCATTGCCAYGGCATCCGTGGTTCACGCGCAGCAAGCAGCATATGCTGCTCTCAGCCAGGGTGTTTTTCTTCCTCTCCCTGTCTTTATCTCATTCTGTTTAAGTCCTGTTTGCTCACTTTGCTAGTCAAAAGAGGGCTTTATTTTTCTTCTCTAGGATGTGCAGAGCTAGTGCAAACAGTTAAGAGAAGCAACTTCCCCAACATCAACACCCTCCATGCCAACAATAATTACTCCACATGGGGAGTTTTTCTCTTATCTGCTGATGCATGTGAGGGAGTGCCGGTGTTAGTGATGGGACATGCCAGATCTTGATCATTTCTGGACTTTCTTAATGCCACATTTTGACCCATGAGATTAAGAAGAGGATTACTCACTTGTCTGCAAATCTGCTGAAGCTGCCCCTTCAACATGTGTCTGGCACACACCCTGAAACCTGATTTTTTTAGACTCTGAATTTTTTACACATATCACTCTTTAACGAAAGGGATATTTCTCTGCCAACAAGGGGAGACTCAACATCATATACAGAAACAGTTTTGCTTAGAGTAGTCCAGTGACTGTGGTAGAAGCCCTAACATAGGCACTCAGCAGAGAACTTTTTCAGTAGCCCTCTACTTATTTGCAGTGTAGCCTTGTGGCTGCAATTTGGTACTTTCACTGTGCTCAGTCAGGGTTCAAGAATGTTTAGAAAATATAAGATTAGGTAGCCCATGCTGTTGAGGAGAAAGGAGGTTTTCTTTCMTATTCCTTGGTCATCAAAAGTCTGCCTCCTTCTCTTAACCTGTGTGAGCTTCCTCATCATGAAAGCATCCCTAGGGTTACTGGAGAACTTAGTAGCTCTCCAGTAACTTGCAAAAAGAACTTGCACAGTCAGACTTAACCCAAGCTGGAGGCATTTCATGAATTTAAAATGTCTTAATAAACTTCCAGGTATTGTTTTATTTTCTGTTCAGAAGTCTTGCAAATTAGGTTCAGTTTGTAAATGATTTTGCAAATAGGCTACCAGTGGGGAGTTCAATCATATATACCAGCTCAGCAGGAGCCAAGATTCTTGCTTCTTTTGGAGCAATACACAGTCATTATAGTCTCCTAACACTCATGAAAATGATTGAACTGCAGTATTCATCCTTATTTCCCTTTCTTCAAGACTGCCACATCACTGCTGGTTCAGCATTGCCTTTGGTAATGGAGAAGGAAAGCAAGGTGGCTTGTTATGTGGTTCTGAATGCTCTTAAATCTCTCCTGAGACACTCTGTGTCTCACTAGGCATAACCCTGAATGATAAGCAATTAATAAGAGTGATAACAGTGGTGCTAACAGCAAAGTTCATGTTRTTCTCCTTGTGCATGAAATACTGGTGCTCTTGCTTTCCCTGCAGATGCTACACATTGCTTTCTCTGGACACCCTTTTCATGGTGCAGAATGGTGCAAGCCTCGGATTCACTGGTAGATGGGGTTGGGAGAGGAGATATCTCCCCTGTCCCCTGCCCTGCACGAGAGGATGCTCTTCTGAAAAGGGCCCACCACCATCTCCCCAGCCACGTTTGGAAAGCAAAGCTTGTTCACGGCAGATCTTTAACTGAATCCAAACTGATCCCTTTCTGTCTCTTTAACCTCTGCTCTGCTCTCACAGTCCAAGTTTTTTGCGCTCTGCCTCGCTTAGTCCAGGATGTGCAGATTAAGTAGATATTGTTTTACTACTGCCAACTCTAAGTGTCAATGTGGGCAATAATTGCAGTTCTCTCACTTCCTTCACCAGTATGAGAACATTTGCAAGTTCTGAACTACCATGCAGCAGGCCACTGATATGCTCTGTGTCTGTTTTTCTTCCCCTCCCTTTCTCTCCCCTCCTCCCCAAGTTCTCTCAGCTCATTAAAATCTTCAACTCTCTGGGTCCTGAGAAGTTCCCCCTTGTGGAGCAAACGTTCTTCCCAAGCCATAAGCAGATGGTGAGTACCCTTTCCTTCTTATGATTCCAAAGTGTATTAAGGAGCAGGGAAGAGCAATGAATATGAGTTGGGTATGAGAGGTGGCAGTGGGGACACTGGGGCTAGCCTCAGTTTTGTTCAAGGAGAATTATCAGCTAAAAAGTGATAAGCAAAAACACTGTTTAGGGAATTTTTTTCCTTATTCCCTAGCCTTTCCCAAGCTCTCATACAGACTCCCCATAAAGTGAAAATGAGAATAGTCTCAAAACAAAGACAAAAATCCGTTGTAAAATACACTCAATAAAAGCTCGTGCCTTCAAGTATGGAATAACTCTATTAAGATAAAGTGTATTTCTCCTCACTCCCCACACTGTCCTTGTTGACCAGGCATCAAAGATTCAGGATATGGGCTGTAAAAGATGCTTCTTTCACGGTATCTGGTTACTTGCTGTTGTATGGTTGTCATCCATGAAAAACGCCTATCCACCTCATTGACTTATCAGTGTAAATTGGAGTTTTTGAGAAAGATGTGTCACCTTGCAACGCTTCCTTTGCATAGTGGCTCTGGGTGGGTCTAAACTTCCTGTCAATGACTAAACACCTATTTGCTTGCATGGTTACTGTGTAGTTACTATATTGACCTCTTAGGACATCTTCCAAAGAGATCCATGTATTTTCCTACAGCATATTTGCCTTTAGTCTTGGAGAAAAAGTCAAAGTGAGTAGCTTTAAACCTGTTCATGTCTTTCATTTTCCTGGGTTGATGACAAGTCCACTGTGATCTTTTGGTCCCAATATACACATGCRAATTATTGGTTCCCCTTACTTGGCTGAGGCTTTAATAAGGCCCCCTGCATGTGAACCATGCCCCATACAGTGCCCCTCAGCTGTTTGAGCTTGTTTTCTGTGGTTTGCTCCATGGTTATGGCCTCAAGGTGCAGGCCTGCAGGCCTAAGAGTGTTATAATGTCTACCTTGGGTTTGGAACTGTTTGAGTTCCTCTTTTTCCACAAACTTTTTGTCACACTGTGGGCCAACTCTGATGCTTCATTAAGTGTAGGTATCTCCTGGTAGAACTGAGCACTTCATGGAGCTCCAAAATTATAAGAGAAGGTTACTTTAGATAAATCCCACAGCTGCTCAGTTGCACCCCAGGCACCCAGATCCATTGAAACGCTAGTCCTCTCTGATCCAACCCTCTGTTCTCTCCACCTGTGCTGTGGGGACAGTGGCACTTCCACACTTCACAGATTTATTACGCAGGTAAGTGCGGTCACATTGTGAAGCGTATCAGCAATTCTAGGGTAAGAACTGCACTGCGTTTTAAGACAAATAGATAAATARATGCTTCTTACACACCAATCTAGGGTTTGCTCCAGATTTTTAAGGCAARTCACAGAATCATAGAATGGGTAAGGTTGGAATGCACGTCTAGAGATCATCTATTCCAACCTTCCTCATACATTCAGTTTCACTAATTTCTTCTAATCTATAAAAATCTATAAAAAAGGCTTTATTACATGTGTAATCCTTTAGGACAGTTGCCAGCTTGTCTAACTACCACTTTGAGAAGGGTGGCTTTGGAAGATTTGATTAATCTTCTCATTGCAAATATTTTATCTAGGAAATATAGCATTCATTATTAGTGCAGTAGTTTGCTTTAGCACACAACCAATTCTTAATTTCATATATTTGTGTTCTTTGTAACAGTTATTGCTCACCAGTTATTATAAAAAACTGCTCAGCAGTTATTTACAGCAGTTGCTCACCTACTTGTGATTACTATTGCTTATTTCCAGAAGAATAAGGAAACCTTTATAAACTGTAGATAATCTCATTTGAACACAGACACTATTGCTGTCATGCAAGCTTGAGTAATGTGTTGTAAATCAGTCACTTTCCAAACATTTTCTTAAGCAATAATCCATTTAGTTACTTTTAGACTTGCCCATTTTAGATTGGGACAGGGGAGCATCTGCTTTTCTCTGATGATTGAGGAAAAAGGAATGAAAGGAAGGAACAACCCTTTGAGATCCTTTCTAGCTGTGTTTTCATGCTCTCCTGTGCTAAGGAGGCTTAGAGATGGCAAGTATTTGCAAACCAAGCTGGGCTCTAGTCTTAGCTCTACAATGGGCTTCTGAAAGTTGCTTCCCTCCTGTCTATCAGCGTCATGTATCAGATGGGAATAAAGATAGTACCCCTTCCCCACTCTTTTCTCTTGCTATACCAGTTAGCACCTGTAAAATATGTTGAAGTCCTTGGATGGCAAACACTTTGGAAATGTTTTTTATTAAAGTTTTGTCATTTTATCTTTGCAACATAATATACTCCAAGCAATGACGTTCTCACTTAAGAAACTCTCACTCTTTTAAGCCAAAACTTTTCAAACTACTTTCTAAACTTTAGGATTAAATGCAGAACTGATTAAAATTTTGTTTCATTCTTTATCAATATTCTGCACAGAGATGAAAGCTTTTCCTAAAGTGAGACGAATACTTTGTAAAACGATTTTCATGAGCATTTGGATTTAGATGAAAACATTCGCTGTTGCTTCCTTCCCATGACAACAGGACATTTTAAACTAGYCATAACAAAGCAGAAATGATCTGAAAGATGAATCCTATTTGCTTCTGCTATGCACATATACTCAATCCCCTCCCCAGTGACAAATTTACTGAAAACAAGAGCAATCTGGCAGCTGTTCTTGCAATGCCTTGCTGGTGCTTCAAGATTTGGCCTTAAGACTGTATTACTCTGTAGTGACCCCCTACAGCCAATTTTCAAGGGGAATACATGAACTTCAAAAGTGATTTTTATCTCTTTTGGGCTTATGACCCTGATAACTGATCTTCAAGATCTTCAGCAGATCTATCAACCTTATAAAAAAGAGGGAGAGATTCCTGGATGGATGTTGTTACCAAAGAGCAGGAACTGCCAGAGGTGGAATGTCTGCATTGGCTCCAATAAAAGAGTTATCAAGAAAGGGAAGGAAATGAATAAATCCACTTGCAGATCCATTTGTGTTCATTTGAAGTGTACGGAAACTAATAAAAGTGAAGCAGAGACAGAATGTCTGTGATAGAAATAAAACCACTTTACTGTTTAGAATAAAAGGACACTATAAAAAGTGAACATTATGCAACATTACCTTAAAAGACAATATACATTCACTGAATATAAAATTTATAAATAACAAGGAGGAAAACTGTAAACAGTGCTACAAAATTTAGCAAATACATTCCTTTTGCACAAGATTTTTCACACGGGTTTGGCTCCCTCCCAAAATTTCTGTGACTATCAGGAACAGCAGAGGCTCTAAGAAGGAAGGACCTCAGAGAGAATCAGAAACTAGAACAGGAAAAGCAACAGCAAATGCTTGGTAGATTTTGTTGTTGTTGTTTTCCTTTAACCTTTTGTCAAGATAGKTAACACCAAAAAAATGCTTTAAAATTACTTTAAAAACACATTAAACACATTAAAAATGTTTGTGCAGTTCCCTAATTTTTGTCCTGCCTTTCTAAGCTACATGGCAATATAACATATAACATATACGTGTTATATTGCCATGTACATGGCATATATAACATGGTCAATATAACACGGCCAAATAACATGGCAAAGCAGAGACTATTTGAACATCCTCTGAAAAAAAACGGGAACATGTTCCTATAGAAGCCTTCACTTCAAAAYTTTTTATAAAAACATAATGATGTATTTACCATCACCATGAGTTACCTTTTGCTCCAACTAGTAAGAACGAGAAAGGGTGATATGTTCTGGCTTTAGAATAGTCTTTTCTAAAGTATCATGTAGCTCTTCAAAACAAGGGATTTTTAGGCCTAAAATTGCAGTTTTGTCCCACTATCCTCCTACAAGGCAGGCTCACTGTGCCCCAGTGACTTCAACAGGAGCTTATTCAAGGCACACCATGCACAGATCTCTTCCTGCTCTTTACACCCTCCTTTTTAGAAAAAAATAAAATAAAAACAGTAATTCCTAGATTATCCCAAACTTTTGAAGTGTTTTTCATATTTTTGTAATTCTRAAGGGGAAAACAACAAATAAGGGAAATATCTATAAATAACAAAAGCAACAGTATAGAAATATGGCATAAGCGTTTTTAAAAGCACTTTAAATAGAGGTGGTACATCTAAAGCCTAAGAAAAGAAGTCCTCATCCTGTACATGTCCTCACACATACATGCCACTGGCAGCTCCTCTTTAACCTTAGGTTATGGGGTGAAAGGAAGAGCATGTTAGAGGTGACAGGAAGACACCTGTGCTCTGCAAGTCCCCTGCATACTCCCWGCCTACCAGTTTTGGGGCACTTCTTACCTGCCCTCTTCACATCCCCATGCCTCGCGTGCCCACATACTGCATGGCCCACATGGCCTCTTCTAGCAAGGGGGGAGTTTTGTTCATTGGCAGGTGCAAGTGACTTAGCAGGGCAGGAGAAAACAGAGCAGACAGATAGATAGCAAGAAGTCTTCAAATCCGATTTAGAGCCTGTTCAATCCATTTAATGGCATCCTCTGCTTCAAAGGATCTTCATGCAGGGTTCTTGATGCAAGTACAAGCTAAGGCTTAGCCAAGAAATACACGTCCCTGATAGCATGCACAGAAACAAAGTAAAGAAGCCTCCCCAAAGAAATGTATTTGTACTGGATTCTTCCCCCTTCTTTTGGCTCCACATTCCTAAAAGCCTTAACAACTGATTCTCTACACGGCAAGGGAAAAGATTTGCTGTCACATCTTTACTCTTGCCAGTGGTCTAGCTGTTAGCATCTCAGAAATATTTTACCCTCTACAATATAAAATGGGAATTTGCTTCAAGAAAAAGAATTCTGGTAATGGGATTGGCGTTTTCTTGTTTACAAAGCACACAGCTATATTATATCCTACACAGGGACACAAGTCCTCATAGCATTAAAATGCAAATATTTCACAATAATTTGAGTGCAATACTGTGATGTCTCAGCTAGCTAAAAGAGTCAGTGAGCAGGTAAAATACGCAGAGCTGCAA